GAGACTGACCTGGAACTCACTATGTAGCCCAAGCTGGTCTTGAACTCACAGTGATCCTCCTGCCTCAGCCTCCCAAGTGCTGGGATTACAGGCATGTGCCAGCACACCCGGCTCACCTCTACTTTTCTAGTGCAAGTAGATAGCAAAATAGAGCTCAGTGTTTAACATTTTACTCTATACATAATCTTCACAATTGAAGACTTTTGAATATTGAATTTTTCTTGAAAATTTGTGGAACACTGGTGTGAACATTTATCAAATTTTGGAATTTTGGGGGCCAGGGATTTAGCTCAGTGGTTCCACTGCTTGCCTTGCAAGCATAAGGTCCCAAGTTCAATACCCAGTACCAAAAAAAAAAAAAAATTTTTTTTTTGGAACTTTGGAACCCCAGAAGTTCCATCTGAAAAAGTTCACTTCTTCAAATCTTTATGGAATTTCCTTGTCATTGTTTTGCTGTTGCTGGTAATAGTTTGTTTTTTTCAGTACTGAGGATTGATTGGTTTTTTGTGGTGGGGGGTTGTTTGTTTTTGTATGAGGGATTGAACCTCGGACCTTGCCTTTGCAAGGCAGGCAGCGAACCACTGAGCTGAATCCCTGGCCCAGTACTAAGGATTGAACCCAGGACCAATGAACTGAACTACATCCCCAGTCTTCCCCCAACCTTTTTTAAAAATTTGAGAGTCTCTATAAGTCACTAAGTTGTCCAGGCTAGGCTAAAACTTGTGATTCTCCTGCCTCAGCCTCCCAGAGTGCTGGGGTTACAAGTGTGCAGCATCATGTCTAGTTAAGTTTTGTGTTCTTCAGTGATGGAAGTTTACCACAATAACCTTTTTTTAATAAATGTAAAGACACCAATTTCATGACAGTTCACATGTTTAATATTTGTATTTGAATGTATTATACAAGAATAAATTTTTTGCATCTGCATAAATTAATTATATATTATATAGCACTCTGTCAATTATATAACACAAAGACATTTATAGGTAAATATTAAAATGGCAGTGTACGTATTCAGTAACTGAACATTAACAAGACAATAATTACCAGGTATTCATTTAATGGGAGAGTCTAGTATTTCCTGGTAATCTTGCCTTCTTAAATTCCTCCAATAAAGTTTATAGCCAGCAAGGACAAATACACTAATCATAATGATTACCCCTCCAAAGACATCATAGACACTAGGAAATATATGTAATACTAGAAGCTGCAAGACCATAGCTACCACAATCTCCAGATGTTGTACTGTGCTGACCAAAGCTGGATGGAATTTGTCCAAGGCATAATAAACTCCTAAGAATGCTGCAGTAGAACAAACGCATATAGCAATGAGATAACTCCATGTTTCTCCATCTAATGGGATGATGGGTTCTTGAAGAACAAACATAGTAGATATTCCCCAGATTGTCCCAGTCCAACCAAAGGTAAACAGAGCAGTCCACATGCTGATCTTCTCCCTGATGGATCTGTACACTATCATAGAAAGAGCAGTGGTCAGTCCTGCCATCACAGTCATGGTATACCCGAAAGCTTCTTTCCAGGCATTTAACAAAGAATTGTCCTCATCGACAATGTTAGGGATCATGACAAGACAAACACCCAAGATGCTACAAACTACTGTAGCCATGTCAACATAGGCCATTTTTTCATCTATAAGTAAAAATGCCAAAATGGCACTAAAAACTGTGGTTGTGGCTCTCCACATAGTGGTCCCATTGCTAGGAGGAACTATTGAAAATGATGTGTAAGCACAAGTGATAGAAATGACATTGCACACACCATAAAAGAAGAGTCGTAATCTGTAACCACGGGGTCCAAAGGGAGCCTCCTGATAGTAACACACAACTAACACAGATAAGACCTGCAAGACAGAACGGATAAAAATCAGTTCTAAAGAGGGAACTTTAGAACGATCAGAAATGAGCCTAGTGATAAGGGCTACACATCCATGAGCCAAAGCAGATCCAAACAGCACTATCCACATTTTTCGAGATTGAAAAATATTTTTTTCTGCAAAGCTCTGAAATTGTCCAATTTCACTGAGCATTGGGTCTTCTGTTGGTGGAGGGTGCGTATCCATGGTTCCAAATAAAGTTCTTCCTTTTCTTTTCATTTCACTCAGCAGACCTTTCTTTGGATTTTCTTCCATAAAATTCCCATAGTCTTCATTAATTTCTTCATATCCATCATCCCCAGGTTGGGGGTAATGAGAAGTATATTTTACCATCACTGTGTTGGGATGTATTTTCACCCGTTTTTTAACTGGGTATTTTTTGGATGGAGAAGTATCCATTTCTTCAGATAATCAACTCTATTAAAAAAAAAAAGACAAATGTACATATTCATTCCATTGAAAAATTAAATTCTATAAATTAATTTCTATAAAAATAATATGCACCAATTCAGTGATAGGAAGTAGAGATTGTAACTGGAGTTTTGGAAAAAAGGTAATAGGAAAAAATGATCTGATGACAGGTATGGAGCCTGATGGAATTATCTACCCATTTTTCACTCCTACCTTAAATCTGTTCAGACTTTTCATTCTGCATATCCTTTATCTTGTTCAGCTCTGTTTCCTATCTTTACATGGCATCCTGATATTTTTCCACCTTTGCACTCCTACCCATCTCTCTATCAAAAAAACAAAGAAACAATATAGGGCCGGGGCTTTGACTCAGTGGTTCTGCTCACTGCCTCGCAAGCGCAAGGGCCCAAGTTCGACCCCTGGTACCAAAACAAAAAACAAAACAACAGAACAAGAAAGAAACAACATAGAACTTAGATCAAACCTTTCGTTTTACTTGTGTCTCTTTGTCAACATTATAAATTATAAGTTGATGAGTCCAAAGTCTTTTATCAATTCTGCATAATATCAAAATATATATTCTATTATAAATTATTGTTTTAAAACATTTATTCTCTGCTCTTCCATATATTTTCAAGTATACGAGGTATGATCAACGTATATGTTTAGTGAATGCTTACATTTTAAAAAATTTTTACAGTAAAAGATGTATTGCCATTAATCCCCCTCAAAATACTCCTACTTCAAATAAACTTATTGTTCTTGCCACTTTCTGAAACAGTTCTGGAAGCTCTCTTTCATAAGTGCCTTTACTTTCACTGTCATGGCTGCCTCGATGTTGTAAATCACTTCAAAATATGTACCTTTCATGGTCATTTTGACTTTGGGAAAAACTCAGAAGTCTTGCAGGGCCACATCTGGTGAATAAGGTAAAAGAAGACATTCAGTGATATAAATTATTTGATAGGAATTGATGTAAATATTTTGAATTGATTCAGGACATCGAGGCAGCCATGAAAAGATGCTCACTAAACATTTCCAGAACTGCTTTAAACAGTGGCAAGAATGTTGGGATGAACATGCTTAAAGCAGAGGGGAATATTTTGAGGGGGATTATGGCAATGTGTCTTTTACTCTAATAAAATTTTTATTTAAACATTCACTGTAAATAGCTGAAAAACATAATATGTGATCCCTAGAAATTTCTTCTCAGGAAACTTTAATGTGCTTTAAAGTAATTTTATTTGAAGAAATTTTGTTTTATAGGAGGTATAGCAAAATTTAGTATATTTAAACAGAGTTCCTAAAAGTACTTTATAACACTTAATAAGAAATGTTTGAAAGTCGTCATGTTAAAATGTACTTTTATAAAAAGTAGCTCTATTATCAAACCAGAAAGCAAGGCTATGAGGAGATGGCTTTGTTGTATATTTTCTAGTCTTGTGAATGTGTAGCTTGAGAGAAGAGAGCCACAATCCTTTATTCATCACTGTTGCAGTTTTTATGAGATACTATTGTGCCTAGAGCTTGTGGAGAAAGTGATTGTACTGTGTTCGTAAGTGGCACATGAAAACAGACCTTCATTGCTGGTTCATGGAGCGTGTAGAGTAGACTTCCAGGCTTGTGTCCTCTTCACATCACACACCGTATAAACAGTGAGCATTATGGGTCTGGCATGTCTGCTTTCGCGTCGGGCAAAGTGGGACATTTCACAGTGTTAAAGGGTGATGGTGAGTCCTGAAGATACGGTAGGAGGGAGTGCATGTGGAGCTGTCTACGGAATTCTAGAGCACAATGTAAAAGTGAAAACACAAAGGGGAGAGTGACCCATCCAGGATCATGTATTTTTTAAATATTCACTTAATCACTTACAGAACAATATGTTGATAACCTATAAAGGCAAAAAGGCTTGAATGACACCCTCACCCACTTGACTGACTTAATCTTTATGAAAAACTCCATTTAGTTGGTACCTCATAGAAGTTCTTTTGCGGTGCACATGAAACAGCAGGAAAGAGTCACACACTGCCCTACATGTTCACAAAACTAAAATTAATTCCCCAGTTCCCCAATTATCCATGTTCCATATTCTTTTTGCGGGGGTTACTGGGGATCAAACTTAGGACTTTGCACTTGTGAGGCAGGTGGCAGAACCACTAAGCTAAATCCCCAGCCCCTATGTTCCATATTCTAATTACCCATATGCTCCAGTTATCCAGAATTGAACTAGAAAAAGTGCATTTCCTAAAAGTGCTTGAAGCTTAGGGGTGATAACTTCTAAATAACTCACTCTCAAGGAAAAACATCTCAAAAGCAATTAAAAACTATTTCAAGCAAGTTGTATAAACCTGCATAACAGTTGAGCTCACTCTTCACCCAGAGAAACGTGTCAACTGCTCATATAGAAAATTGGTTTGAAAAAGTGCTTTCAGACTAAGAAGCTAGAAAAATGAAGAAAAGGGAGAAGAAAGTACATAAAAGATTTCAAATGAAAATTAATATAAATAGGGAGAGAAATGAGTGAGAACTAACAAAACTCCCTACTGGGTCCAGCAGGAACAGTTAGGGTGGGTGAGCCCAGTTTCCTCCTGATTCAGGAGCAGACTTTGAATGTTTCTCCCTTGAGGACAAAGCAGACTGTGTAGTTGGGTAGATGCCCATTACTGCCTTTTCCTGTTTTGTTGAGTGTTTCTGTCATGAAAGGCTGTCTGATTTTCCTAAATCAGTTCTCCTCACCTTTTGAGTTTTATCATGCCTTTTTTCTCCCTTTCTTTTCTTTGTTCTGATAGTAGAATATAGGCATTGCTTTAAAAATAGAAAACAAAAACAAAAACATTCACTGTAGTTTCTTATAATCTCTTGTAAAAATAAACATGGAAAATAAAATTAATTTAATATATACATTGTTGGTGAGAATATAAATTATACACACTTTCTGATGGGCACTTGGGCAACACATATTAAGATTTTATATAGAAATTACCTTTTATTCAGCAATTTCACCTTTATGATTTTTATTCTAAAAATGATCATGAAATGCTTCTCACATTCATATAAAAAAGGAGAAAATAAAAATATTTACATTTGCTTTTATAACAAAAAATTATAAATGAAAAGATACAACAGAAACAGGGAAGGGATGGAAAATCCCTTTTTGCAATTTTTTTTATATTTTCATTTCTGAATCATGATTGCTTAAAAATTAAATTACAAATGTATCTCTCCCCATTACCAAAAAAAATGTATCTCTTACTACTCCAGAATAGGGAAAATATATGTCTAAGGCAGATCATTGTAGCCTACTAAAATTAGCCATCTTACAATGGAATAGTATGCTATGCATCAATTAAAAATGACAATGTAGATCTTTACTGAATTGGAAAGATGTGTACCACAGTTTATGGAGTAGAAAGAAATTAAGCTTTTTTTTTAAGGATTAAAGGAAAGAATGCATGTAAAGAGTTTGCCACAGTGATAGCGTAAACTCTCAATAAATATTAGCAATACATTTGACTTCCGTTTATCTATAATTATCTTTTGACACATTGGATAACTTTTACAATGTTATTCTGCTTTTAGACCATTATTTGTTCACTCAGTTCCTTCCTGCCTTTCTTCCTTGAACAATTTTTTATTTCCTTCCCAATTCTCCTTTCTCCCCTAAAGAAAAGGGAGGGAGAAAGGAAAAAGGGAGAACAGAGAGAGGAAGGGAGAGGGAGTAGAAGATGGAGAGGGAAGGAGGAAAGGAGAAAGGGAGAGATAGGCAAAGAGAGAAGGAGGGAGGGAGATGTGGGGAAAGAGAAAGGAAAAAAAATTTTTTTCTGACTCCCTGGTTCCTTGCCAAAACTCATCATTTCCAGGATCTTAAACTGTGGCCCAGAAATCAAATCCAGTTCTGTTCTTTGACACCATCTGGATAGCCAACTGTTTGTCTATTTATTCCTTTCTCTTCTAAAAGGTACCCTCTTCAGTTGGAAGAACCCAGGAAAAACACCACCAGTGCCTCTGAGTCTAGGTTTCTTACTATGCAGGCATTCCAGCACACCCTATCAGGCCAATCTGACTAGCTTTTGAACTTCTTAGGACATTTACACTTCCAATTATATCTTCAGCTTCAGTAACCCCAAATGTGATTTCCCAAATAGATTTTCCTTCACTAACTTAGCCATTTATATTTGTCATAGCATCATTTTTTTAGTTCTACAAGATAGAAATCAAGGAATACTCTGAATCATCCTTTCTGCCATCACACTCCCAATTGGTCATCAACCTTACTGTTTCTGTCTTTGAAATATTTTTCTGATTCTGTCTTCTCCAATTCCATTTTACCTTTATGATTATGGATCAAGTTATTGTGAACTCCTGTTTATTTACTGCAACCGCCCCCTTGAATCATTGTCCTCAAAAAACATCTGTATTATCACTCTGTCATATTAATGTCTTTACAATGTATTCAAAATGAAGCGATGCTGGGGATTTAGCTCAGTGGTGCTGCTGCCTGCCTCCCAAGCTCAAGGTCCCAAGTTCGATCCCCAGTACCCTGCCCCAAAAAAAGCCAAAACCAAAATAGAACAAAACCTTGCCTCAAGCTTTCTCCATTGAAGAACCTAGAGTTCTCTACAGTTGTACTTTCTACTTTATCAAATTTCAGCTACCTTCCCTGAGGTTTGTTACTCTATCAATGCAATATAGCTCCTATCAATACTTAGCTCCTTACACAGACTTTGATCTTCAGGTGGTTATGGTTGCATGGCTTCCCTCTTGGGCTGGCTTCACTCCCTCCCTGCAGTTTCCTCAGACAGTCCACATTTCTAGCTTCTCCAACCTTCTGGGGTCTCCACTGCACCTTTTGCTTCACATTCACCACTTCTCGGGGCACACTGCCTGGCCTCCCAGGCCTTCTTCTGAACTCTGGGTGGAAGCCTCCCTGACCCCAAACTCTTGCATTCTGCATGCTCCTAAAACTAGTACCACATGGATGATGTCAAGGTCTGCAGGCAGCTGGAGCAGTAGTCAAGCTTCCTTCTCTCTTGACTGTAGGGGTCCAGTGCCTATGAACCAAATCCTGAGGAACAACTTCCCTAGACAGCCGCCGTTCTGAAGCATGGTGCTTGGGGGCTGTCTTCTCAAAGCAAAACCTTTCACTTTTGCAATTTTGAGACTGCAAAGGGTGGATTCCTGCTGCTTCTTATGATGCCCCAAGGCCATCTTTTCTTATGCTCCCATTCCTTCTCACCAATCAAGATCTCCTCTCTTCTGTCTTTGCAGACCACAGCTTTACTGGAGTTTCCTTTCTGGCCAAACTCAAAACATTTTGAATTGTTCTGCTGGGTTCTTGGCTCTTGATTTTCAACATAGATCTGGCTAAAAGCCCCCAACAGTAACCATGCCCCTGCCTCAACCTTAGACTGTCTTGAAATTTCTTCTGCTAGATTACTTCGTCCACCTCCCTTAAATCTCAGTCTCAGGCAAAGTCTCTGGACATGAGCTAAATGCAAACAGCTTTCAGCCAAGGCATAACACACATTGTCTGGAGCAACCAATGCAGTCTTCTTTCCAGCAGAAACCTGCTGAGCCTGGTCTTTACAGGCTTTCTCAACTTCTGAGCTCTGACCAAGATCTCCCACACAGTATAGCCAAAGCCCATCCAGCTCTATTTTTTCAGCTGGCATCTTGGAACCTTTTTAAAGTCTTCCCACAATCCATTTCCAAAGGTTCTTGAACCATGGTCAGGTATAATAACAGCAATGACCCCAATTCTCTGGTACCAAAGTCTTAGTTACTTTTCTCATTGTTGAGACAAAATACCCAATATCCAATGTAAAGGGGAATGTGTTTATTTAGCTCACAGTTTATAGCGGTTTCAATTCATAATCGGCTGGCTCCAAGGCAGAGTAGCATGTGGCAGAGAGACATGGAAGAGCAAGAACAGCTCATGGTGCCCACATGGAGCAAGGGAGGGGCCCACATACTCTGATCTTGCTAAGCAGTGCAATATCCTCCTTGACCTCACACCCTACATGTCAATTTCTTTCTCTTTTTTTTTTTTTTTTTTTTTTTTTTTTTTTTTTTTTGGTATTGGGAACCAAACTCAGGGCCTTGCACTTGCTAGGTAGGTGGTGTGCCACTGAGCTACAACCCTGGCTAGCCTTTATTCTTATTTATGTTCCCTTCTGTTCCAACTTTTTAAACATTGCTTATCTTTTTTCCCCATTGTTTACTGGTACATTTTAGGTATACACATTGCTTATTTTTTAAAGCCTAATCTGTTTTTTTTTTTTTTTTTTTTTGAAACATGGTCTTGCTATGTAGTTCAGGCTGTTCTTGAACTCACTATGTAGCCAAGGCTGATCTCAAACTTACAGCAATCCTCCTGTCTCAGCCTCCTGAATGCTGGTCTCCTCAGTGGAGACCTCCTGAGTGCTAGGATTACAGGTGTGCAACACACCTGGCCATAATTCTATCTTTAGAAATAAGACTTTACTGACTTCTCCAGCCAATTGTTTTTCTGTTTCTTGAGACAACATTTTGCTTTGCAGTTCAGGTTGGCTTTGAATTATGTGACCTAGGCTGGCCTTGAACTCGTGTCAACATTTCTGCTTCAGCCTTTGAATGCTGGAGTTACCACACCCAGTTTCTAGCCAACTGTTTAGTTAATTATTTTTTGTCCTTCTTTTTTAAGCATCTTCAGTAGTTCTAATCTAATGTTTTCATAATCTGATCATTTTGTTATTTGATTGGCTCAACTCAGTCAAATTTTGTTCCAAGTTACCCTACCCAAATT